CACCCAAATACTAGTTCGTCACCAATGCTTCAACCTTGCTTAGAGCAACTAGATGAACAACACAAACAACAGCTTCAGACACAAGAAGCTGCTGTTGTACAGATAGATAATGATCCTAAGCAGAGTCCCCTTAATCCATGTCCTACCCATGGCTTCATCAATAAATCAATTTCAACTCTATACCGCGTTTCCTTCAATCAAAATGGTAGTTGTTTCGCCATTGGCACTGATTGCGGCATTAGTGTCTATAGTTGTGACCCTTACTGTGAGATGTTTCGACGATACTTTGATAATGGAGGTGGTATTGGAATTGTTGAGATGCTCTTCAGAAGCAATATATTAGTCTTTGTGGGAAATGGAGATAATCCACAGTATCATCGAAACAAGGTCATAATTTGGGATGACCATCAGAACCGTTGCATCGGAGAGCTCCGTTTCAGGTCGGCTGTGCGCGGTGTGCGGCTTCGACGGGACTGCATTGTAGTTATACTTGAGCAGAAGATATTTATATATAATTTTGCTGATCTGAAGCTCGTCCACCAGATTGAGACAATTTCAAACCCAAAAGGACTCTGTGAAATTTCACAAACGGCTGTATCACCTGTGCTGGTGTGCCCTGGGTTGCAAAATGGTCAAGTTCGGGTTGATCATTTCACATCAAAAAGGACTAAGTTTATCTTTGCACATGATTCTAGGATTGCATCTTTTGCTCTTAGTCATGAGGGGAATGTGCTGGCAACAGCAAGTATCAAGGGTACTCTTATCCGGATTTTCAGCACGCAGGATGGTACATTGTTACAGGAGGTAAGATTTTGAATGTTGTTTAGTTCAGTCCAAGATATTTCAAATTCTTTTATACCAAAGCTTTCATAAGCAGTAGTAGCATTTTTCTTATTTTTCTCTTTCACCAAGTATGAATAGTTTGTAGCTACTGGATTGCAAAACTGACCTTGTCAAAGTACTTCATCAATCCAGCATATCTGTCTTTATCTTCATTTTGTAACTCTCCTTGATCAAAACATGATGTTTTGATGTCATTTACTTATGCTAAACACGGATAAGTTAATGGCTTTGTTGTTTTGAAATTCCTTGACTTCTGCTTGTACTCTCAAGTAAATTGTACCTATATAGCATTTTCTAATGTCTCAAAATTACGTACTGATTCTTTATTCTGTGTTTCCCGTGATTCATGACTCAGAAAGTCTTAGGATGCATTTGGTACTCAGAGTGCACTCCTTTTTATTTTTTTATTTTTTTATAATGGTAACTGTATATTCAGCGTGCATTCCTTGCTTGCCTCTGCCTTGAATATTAACCTTTGGTTATCAACAGATTGTAATTTATTAAAACTGGATCTAAGAAGTTTCTTCTTCTATATAAATCTCCATCCATATGTGCCTTTGGCTTGCAACATTCCTTGTCAATCTCCATTTGGTCAAATCTGGATATTGCATGAACAGTTCTAGAATGGAGGGAATCTAGATGTTTCTTTATCACCTATTTTATCTTGAAGTGGATGTAGAGTTAATGAACATAATGTTGTTAACTTTTGCCAATTCCTTGTATCTTCTTTCTATTCTTCATATTCTTCCCATAATTACAAGTGTCATTTTTACTACTGATATCCGTTGACATATCGGATATAGATTGTTTAAGATTGTAATGTTTTTATGGTTTTATTTTTCTACTTTGCTTGCTAAGAGATTTACTTTATCCATACACAAATGACAAGCTTTGTCTCAAAAAAAAAAAAAAGAAGCATAAATGACAAGCTAGATTAAGTCTTTTAACTTCCCTTGCACCAATTAAACAGTGTTTTTGAGATATCTAGTTTTGGTAAATCACACATCACGTATGATTTCAGGTAAGGAGAGGTGCTGATAGAGCAGAAATTCACAGTGTTTCATTCGATCCAACTGCTCAGTGGCTAGCAGTCTCTAGTGACAAAGGCACAGTTCATGTTTTTAGGCTTAAGGTCAATCTAGGGAATCAGGATAAGACAAGAACTACTCCTAATTTCCGTGGTACTTTGGCTGCAGCGAGTTCACCACTATCCTTCATCAAAGGTATGGTTCCTTTCTGATACACATTTAACATTTTCTGATTTCTGTGTGTGTGTGTGTGTGTGTGTTGTAAACAGCTGTGCAGAATTCAACCATAAACACTAATTATTTGATCTTTGATCTGGATGCCTTGTAAATGTTGTTCAGCATTTGGGATGGATGTCCTGACCATGAGCTTATAGAAAAAACTACGGCAACTTATCACACGCAAATATTCTTTGAATGATAGTTAACAGTAGTAGGCTTGTTCAGTTGACAAATGCTCCAGAGCAGTTAGCATAGACAGCAACAGCCTACTTGCTTGATATCTTTCCATGAGAAACCCAACTTAGTCTTCCATTATACACTTCATCTTGACCAATTGGCCTAAGACATAGACAACTTAAACTAAATATCTAATCCTACATTAGGTACTCACAGTTTTTATACATCTAAAGTCTAGTTGCCAAAAGGACAACTGTCCAGGTTGTCACCGTCACCTTGCTGTATGTAAATCATCCCTTGCATTTAAACAACCATAGTTGTCATTTCATTTAAGATCTAAGCTTGTATCTAATGTCATCTATCAATTTTTGTCTCTTAACATTTTTATGGGGCCATCAACCAAACTCAGGAGACAGCAAGCTTTTTTGACCCTTTTCCACTCAATATGGAGTTTTCTTTATAGCTTCAAAACATATAAAGCATATGATTCAATAAAGTCTAAATAAAGGGTAGGGGAAAACAAACTCATAATTTTACTAATTTATTTCAATATATTTTTTTGGATTTCTCGCTGTACAGTTATGAAGTATATGACATTTGTTACTTCCTCTCTGTTGAATGTAGAGGAGTTTTCTTTTACTATATAGACCAAATAAAGGGAAATAGCACTACTACTAACTTGGCTCTTTCTCGTCCCGTCTTTCATGTCATTCACTCAAAAGGCTTTCAATATGGGTTACCCTCTAGATTAGATTCTCTCTTATTTTGATTTTTGTGAATTTTAGTTCACTCGTTCCCCGTTAACAGTCCCCTTTCCCTAGTATATCTAAAGTAACTATGTCCAAATGGCATGCAAGTCATTTTTTTATTTTCAGGGTTCTCTAAGTTCTGCATTATTCTACTCATGTGCAGCTCATATGAGAATTGAGATACCACTCCTATAAAAATCTTTTTTTCTTTGTCCTTAATGGACATCTTACATACCCTGAAGTTTCCTGCACAAAAGTGTTTGCCTTCTTGGTCTATTTATTACAGCCACAGATAAATATTTGTAACCTCAAGGTGGTGTTAATACTCGTTAAATTGTAGCTTTTTTCTAGTGCAGTAGTATTATCCGTAGCTTATTTAAGCACCCCACTTTTGCAATTAAATAGATTAACTTTCATGCGCCTGAAGACTAATAATGAAGGATCTGTGTTAGCGCACAAGTTTTGCCTGGTAAATTTTGCTTTATTTGATTCTATCGAATTGAGATTACTTGTTTTTTCTCTGATATATTGGAGGATCATTAGAGGTGATTAACTCTTTGTAATAAGGTTGTTTAAAATGGAAAAAGATTTATATTTGACTTTGGTGATCCGCATGCATCAATCAACTACACCTTAATCACAGAGCTGGGGCTGTATTTTCATAATAACTTTTTTTAAGTTGGTGGTCAACCAATCACAGCCTCCTCTTTTATCGGACTTGAGATCGGCTACCATGCACTGTAATTCACATGCATCCTCAATAATATTCTGTTTTGCTTCTCTGAAATGGCCCTGAAAATGTTTAACATGAAACTTTGAGTCGAGAACTTCTTTGCTCCCGTTACTTTTTACAGGCTCTGAATTGATTTCATGTTGACAGGAGTACTTCCAAAGTATTTTAGCTCAGAATGGTCTGTGGCTCAATTCAGATTTCCCGGAGATTCCGAGTTCATTGTTACTTTTGGTCATGAAAAGAATACATTGTTAATTCTTGGCTTGGATGGAAGGTAGGCTCACTTCTCTGAGAATTTTGTGGCATATATATTACATAATATTTCTCTTGTTATGTAAATACCTATACTTTCAACAAAAGGTCCATGTTGGAGGACAGAGAGAATTAAGCACAGACCTCACATTGTCTCAATTATGTTTTTCTTGTTTTAACAGATGAAATCGACAAAAATACTGTGCAACATGCCAGAGTATAATTTTTTTTACCTACATGTGTATTGATATATACGTAGTCAGAGAGAATTAAGCACAGACTTCACATTGTCTCTATTATGTTTTTCTTGTTTTAAAAGATGAAATTGATAAATTATTGTGTTAAAATGCCAGAGAGTATAAAGAATTTTAACCTACCTGTGTATTGATATATACGTAGTGTCCTATTACCAGTGGTTATGTAGAAAACAGTTTAGAGGGATGATAAGTAGAAAGTGCCATAGCATGAGCTTCTCAGTACCTGCTACTTAAGAAGTAAAAAGATGCTAATATGTCTGTTCACCATCATTTTGTTGGGTGAAGAATATAAATTCAATTCATGTACATATATTTAATACCAAAAATTAGAACTAACAAATAGGGCAGCAAAAATAATAACCGGCTGAGCAAAGAGCTGGGCTAAAGAAGTAAAATATGGTCTTCCTTACTCTTTTGTGTTTTCTTCTTCCACTACTAAAGCTGTTTTCCCAATGGAAGATTTTTGGCGTGTGTGATTGACCATCTAACTTATCCCTTTGTTTGTTGAAGTATCTTTCGCCCACATAAACACTTGCTAATGCATACAGTCATATTTTTACTTCTCTTTCAACTATTAATTTGGTTCTTCCTATGTATGGTTTTGGATGTGCGTGAATGACTTTTTAAGCTTTTCCGAGATTGACTGGAATATGCACTCTTGCCCTGTTTACATACATTTACTTCTCTTAGTAAGATTCACTTGGTCACATTATTGATATGTGTTCAACTTGTCACGCAGCTTTATTAGATGCAAGTTTGATCCGTCCTCTGGCAAAGAGATGACTCAGATGGAGATTCACAACTTTCTGAAGTCCGAAAAGGCCTCGTGATGGAATGTTTGATCGGCTTTCCTGTCCATGCAAGGAAGTATTTGCTTCCCTCAGTTGCACCTGCTTTCATAGTCATGGTATACGTTATTGTAACTATCATATATATAGTGATTTAACAGGGTAAATCGGTAGCTATAGCCAACAATTTTGAACAAGTTATGATGTACAGAACATCGACTTATTAGTATTCTAACAAAAATATAAGATACACAGTTGAATTTAGAATCACAATTGTTACCAGTAAGAAAATGTGTAGTTTTCTTCTTTGTTGCTCAACTTTGCTTCATTTACCTTATTTCTACTATGGGTAGAGATATTTTATGATTTCTCTTCACTTTTTTAGGACCTAAGTTTTGGGTTGATTCTGATTTTACTACCCATAAAACACAATCCTAGAAAAAGAGGGTTTTGTTTTGTATGCATTTTGGACATCTTCTTACTATTCTGATTTGCGATACTAGAACCGATTGTCTTTTGAAAACCGTCTCTCTATTTTCACGAAATAATGATAAGGTTTGTGTATGGTCTATCTTCTCTAGACCTCACTTATCTAGACCTCACTTATGAACTTTTACCAATTTTGGTCAACTGGAGACTTATCATGGCAAGAGTCTCACTACTATTAATGAACAATTTTTTTTTTACATAAATTCTTCAGCATTAAGCTTCATTTTTATTCTTAAATCATTGTGTTGATGGGATTAATTAAACAAATGTTAAAATTTGTGTGATGAAAACATTAAAATTGTTTGTTGTGTCACTGGTGAAGTGCTTGACAAGTAAGTCTACCAAAGATGAATTAGCATGTCTTTTGTCCTTAGGGTTTCTTTCTTAGTGTTTCTAGATAGTCTTCTTGATAAAGACCTCCCATCTACTACTTTTTACATAACAGTAGACCGTAGTGTTCGGGTTAATTTACGCACATTTTAACTATTTTACTGAATACATCATTTTATCATCATTGATACCGGATGATTTATCAACCAAAATTTAAGCGGATGAAAGAAAATCTCCGAATATGAATTTTTGAATTTATTCATAATTTTCACTCATTTCATTAACCGATAGCCATACTTCTTTTGTTTTCATAGTGGCACCCTTGGCTTCAACCTTCTAGTAGAGGCTGATGTAGTGTTAAAGTTATGAGTTCGATTAAATTTAATATTTTCATTGTGAAATTTAGCTATGTTTGTAAAAAGAAAATCACTAAAATCATAAAATAAATATTACGTTTTAAACTCAAATTTTAAGATATAATAGATCAACAATAAACATCTAGAGGTGAATTTATCAAATGAAAATCTTGAATCCGCCGTAGCCTTTCTAGCTACTTTCTCAATGCATTTGTTTTAGCAGTGGACAAAGTCTTCGTTAAATAATATTTTCGACACAAAAATGTATATATGAGCATAAAAATATAACAATCAAATCGAATTCTTTTCGATAGTAAAATTCTAAATATTAAATTCATCAAATAAAATTTCTGAATCCGCCTCTATCTTCACTACAAGAAACAGCTTTATTTAAGACCAATATTTATGGACGAGTTAATAATCCCGTCTCTGAAAGTACATATATTGGGACGATATTTTATTTCGGTCTTTAATTTCATATGTTATTGTGAAGGTACTAAATCTGGTCTCTAGAAAAAGTAGTAACTCGTCCCAAATTAAAACTTGGGTCTTGAGAAATTATTGGAAGGCGGGAACATATTTTCACCAAAAAATTAGCCGCCTAAAAATTCATCAATTCACTAAAATTCTAAAAGGAAAAGAAAAGACGCTTCAATTTGTTTCTCAATGAAATAAAAAAGAACCCTAGCAGCGATCTTCCCTAGCTAACAATCAGCTTCCCTTACAACGATCTTAGTGTACTAGCTCTCAACTAAAAATCTGTGTTTTCTCAAAACAGAGAAAGCACAGGTCTGCCTAGCAGCAAACGCAATACAGGTCACATTGATTAGTGTTTCATCTCTATTTTCTCAAAACAGAGAAAGCAGAGGTCTGCCTAGCAGTGATCTCCACTCAATATATATCTTCTATTCACTCGGCTCTAAGGTATGCCTCCACTTCGACGAGTTGATTTGATTTTTTTCTGTACAGTTGACTTGTTGTTTGTTTTGTGCGAGTTGTAACTCATCGTCTTGTTTGAGTTCTTGTTCTCTAAGACTAGATGCTGATCGTTTTCTTAAAAAAGATTCAGTTTCGTAGTGTGATATGAAGCCAAAAGTGAAGGGGATTGATCAATCCTTAAAGAAGTTTGTGTTCCTAAAGATAAATAGTAATGAACTTGAAAAGAGGCACTAACAACTCAATGAACTAAAACAATATTAAGAGATAATATAGAGAGTGTTTTGTTTAAGTTGAGAAATCTGTTATGAATTACAAGTGAACTACTAACAGGGCAAGTGAGACAAGTGATTGCAGAATGTTACAACTGAATAAGTTAAAAAAGAGATAGTTTCATTTGGGTCTGAATCTGATGAAATATGTAAAACACAATAGAACTGATGCAACTAACCTCCTGTGGTGCTGCACATAGAAGATTGAATGAGGGATAGTTTCGTTTGGGTCTGAAAATTGGAAAACTTGATAACTTTCAAGAAGATGCATTCTAATAGTTGTTTAAAACATTCTTTCAATTTTTTCTAATTGGTTCTTTTATTTCTGTCTACTTGTATATCAGCTGTGCATCCTCTTTTGTGAGATTTTTTCCTTCTGTAAATTCAATTTGTTGATTGTTTTCTTCTTATAGCATAGTGTATAGTGTGTTCCTAAAGAATCGATCATATTTTGACGATTAAATTAACACGAGCTGATGAACGATGAAGAAAGCAATAGAAAACTGATGCAAATTACCTCTTGTATATGATGTATATATTAGGTAGAAACAACGATAGTTTCATTTAGGTTTCAAAACTTGGAAAACTCAAGATTTTTCAATAGTTGGACCATATATATTTTTTCTGTAAAACAGAATCACTGGCTATTTTCTGTCTGTTCAACTTTCTGGTAAGCTTCCTCTTTTGGGAGCTGATTTTTTCTTCTTCTCTATATTTGATTTTTTCGAGTTACACTATACTTGTTTGAATTACTCTTCATCTTTGAGATTATCTGGTCAATTCTTTTGAAGTATATCATAGTGTTTCGTGTGTGTCTAAGAAATCGATCATATTCTTTTACAATAAAATTAACTCGAACTCACAAAAGATGTAAGAACAAACAAAACGGATACAAATTACCTCATGTGGTGTTGTACATAGAAGGTAGAAATAGTTATAGTTCCATTTGCGTTACAAACTTACCAAACTCGAGATCTTTCAAGAGATACGTTCTTATAGTTGCACCATATATTCCTCCATTCCTATCAAACTCACAATCACCACAAATGTATTAAAAAAAACTGTAAATAACATATTGTAATTAACTTTTAGAAGGTTAAAGATGCAAGTGAGTTCTTATCGTTATACTTCCTGTGATTCTATATATAAAAGGTAGAAACAATGATAGTTCTCTTTGGGTGTAGAAACAATGATAGTTCTCTTTGGGTTTGAAACTTGACAAACTCAAGATATTTCAAGAAGAAACATTCTTATAGTTGCACCACATATTCTTCCATTCTTGTAAAAGTCAAGCTCGACAAATTTACCCAAATGACTGTAAATAACAGATTGTAAGTTGTGCGCATCTTATAATTTATCAAAACGTCTGTAAATAACATATTGTAAGTTGTAAATAATATATTGAATTTAATTTTGATAACATAGTGAACTAGGTACAAAATCACAAGTTGTGTGCATTTAAAGTTTTTCCTTATCGTTTATATTTTCTTATTCTATTTTTATGTATTCTCCAAGGTTATGGCACCTAGTAAGAAATGGATGCAACTTTCTCTTGATAAACGGGTTGACCAAGCCTATTTAGACGGGGTGCAAAAGTT